CAGAGGCCTGACATTTAAATGAATGCCCACAGCAGTAGATTGAAAAGAATAGGTAGATAGCTTTATCCATTGCTAGCTGTCTTTCTTGTCCTATGTCTTTTAGAGAAGTCAGAGTTGGAATAAAAGAGGAGAGATTTTCTTCTTTTGGTAGAGAAAGGACTAAAAAATTAACTCTTTTTGCTTTATTAAAATTAGGGTGCCATATCTTCCTTTATTATTATCATCTTCCATTTTCTTTTCAGGTCTAGCACAATATTTTGAGTCTAGCTGGAATCAGCAGAGTAAAACTTCAAGTGAAAGAAAAGGTCATTGTGTAGAAATAAATACCAAAAATAGGTCAGTAGCCTGTATCATAAAGCCTTCTTTATGCTGCTCTGGTAGTGGTAAAGGTTATTAAATACCCAGAAAGAGTCCCAAAGGTTATCCCTTTGGAAAAAAGTCACCATCACTGGATCATCATTGCTCCACAGCATTGCATGGAAAGCAGGGTTCTTCAAAAACCAATGGAGCATGGAAAGAAGAGGAGGAGAATGGCAACCTTCAATCTAAAATAATGAAAAAAACCACCCCATTCCCTTAAGCAGTTTTAGTGCATCTCTCTGGAGTGCTGAGGTTGCCAGGGGGGTCGTGTGGCAGAGCACAGAGCAGGGAAACACCCAGATCCAGTGCACAGGAGTTACTTCTCTGAATGGCGTGTCATTTATCCAGAAATATGCATAACACTGCATGGGGAAGTGTCACTGAGTGAGATGGAAGGCCCAAAACCCCATTAGTCCCCCAGTAAATCTGCTCTGAGGACAGTAAGGGCTAACCTGATCTATTGAACTCAGTGCAATATTCCCCCAGGCAGATGATTTACAGTGCCTTCAAGTGCAAGTGCAGATGATTGCTGCTGCCCCAGGGAGTCAGAGGGGCAAAGCTCTGCTTGCTCAGTTTTCAGAGCAGTGACACATTTGAATTCTTGGTTTCAGTCGCAGAGAGAGGTTTTTCACTTGGGTTATTTTCTTTAAACTTTAATAACATGAGTTAATCACCTCAGTCAGATTCCTGCCTGTTCAAGAAGGACTAAAGGACACTGATGCTGTGAAATCTGAGCTGTAATCTAAACAGGGTTCAGTTTCAAGTATCAGAATAAATATCTCTGTGCATCTGAGCTTAAAACTACGATCCTTTCCCTCCTGACACTCCTCTGTCAAATCCATCATCTCTCCCACACTGACAGGAAGCCTTATGAGCAGGATCTGTCCTCTTGTTACAAGAAACAGAAGACAAGATGCAGTGATTGACTGGCACTCAGGGTACTGGTATGTGTTTGTATTATCATTGTTGCTGCAAAAGTCAACTCTTATTTGTGCCACATAAAATTTCAGACTACATTAACATCTGTGTGATGCTTTGCCACTCTCACTGCTGAGCAAAAGTTATCACATCCTGTGCAAAATCAAGAGGTGCATTACGCTGGAAAAATGTTATTTTGCATCAACAACCTTCTTGAAGCTGCCCATGTCAGTCTCCAGACTGCATCTGGGACAGAGTCGTGCCATGTTCCTCCTCATGGCAAAATCACAGAAATCATAAATAATGAAGAAAAACTGGGAATGGGCTCACATAGGATTTAGATTTCTGATTCTGAGGCCTTTATCCAGTCAGGGGAAAATTGCTGTTCTTTTTTGAACATTGTGTAATATAAGAGTTTATTTACAGATAAAGAAATAACAGCAGAGTGAAATGGTATAAAACTTCACATACTGACTCTTTGCTTCCTCAGAAAGAGTACCAAGTCTGTCTATTTTTGTTGTTCTTCTACCTTTGTTTTTTTACTCAGCAGGGACAATATTTTTTTATCTTGTTTTGTTGTTTGAAGGTGAGAACCCTTCCATAGGCTTTATGCTTGGTGCCACTTAGAGCAAGATGGAAATTTGTGTGGTGCACATTTTTTCTCACTATGTCTTTTTGGCTAACCTTTTTCATAAAATCTCTGTCCAAGAGCCAAATACAAATTTAAAACACTTGCTTCAGTGCTGATGGTTGAAGCTGCTGAACCGGTGGATGTCTCTATGACACACATGTATCATATTCTGGTTTCAGCCTCTGAATTCCCCTCCAAAAAGGTGTGGAGGTTCTGTCCTGCAGCTCCTGTTGCTGCCAGTTTCTGGTGTAGTAAAGCCTGTGATTCCAGTGGTGCTGTGAACTTCATCACTTCTGGAAGCATTTCTGCACGTGCTGGGCTGTAAAGTGACTCTTGCCAGGTGGTTTCTGTGCTCGAGGACATCTGCTTTGCCTCTCATAACTTCTTCTAATTGTAAATGCTGTTGGTCCTGGGCCTCAGCCTCGCTCTCACTTTCACCACTGATTAATGAGTGCAGTTTCTGTAGTCTGCTCTGAAATTACACCCAGTTACAGTGCTCTGGGGCAGGCAGAGAAGAATTTCCCACCATTCCATATTGTCTGTGATCTCAGGTAAGGAAATATTACATTGCCAAGCACAGTATCTCTTATTTGTTGGATGATTCCTCTTGGTTTATATAAAAATTGCTGGGAAAAAATGAAATGGCAGTTAATTCATTTGTAGGGCTATTTTGGGTCTTGAACATTTCAAGGCAAATTTATTTAAAATGCCGAAAGATTTTAAATGTGCTGTTTCAGAAGTACCACAGGTCCTTGGAAATATCCCTTCCTGGAATGTAGCCTTCTAAATGTTTAATTTAACAGCTGACAATAGGGTTCAGACTCTTCAGGCTGAGAGCTTTCAGAAGTTTATTCAGTTTGTTTATCTGGGTAGAGAAGCGACACAGCATGTAATTGAATAAACAATGGTTTAATTAATTTCTCAGTCTTGCAGTATAGCTCATTTGTACATGTGAATGATAACCTGTTTGGCAGATGCTGGTTTCAGATCATAAAGAGACCAAAGACACAAAAAGTGGCTTTTCAGTCCCCATCTGTGCTTTACTACTGAAAAAAGTACTATAAATCTTCCACCTTTTTTATAGCTAATACAGACATCCTATGATGCTCTTTTGAAAGCACTTTGTCTTTCACTTCAGCAGGGACTGGGGGAAGTCAGCCTGGCTGTCCAGCCCTAGTTTGCACAACACTTCCTGCAGCTCCCATGGAATGTGGGCTTATTGGCAGCTGTAGAGGCTGGTAAATGATTGCCTGGGTGTATGAGCAGACACTACCAGGCTTTGGTTGGGTTGGCAGGGCTGGATGAAGCACCACAGAAACATTGCCAGCTTAGTTTGCTTTCTCCCTTCTGAACACAGGGCTAGGAATAAGAGAGAAGTCTGAGCAAGAGGAATTTGGCCATTCCTACGTCTAATATGTAGTTTCAAGCTTTGGGGTTGTACTTTTGGCCTGGATTTCTGCTTGTTTGTTTTGTCTCTTTCTACTGAAGCAAACACAGCACTTGTAAAGTGCAGATACATTTTGAAAAAAACCACAATAAAAGGAAAGAAAATCACAATAATTAGACTGAGTTAAGGTCAAAGATAGAGTCGGTTAAAATCATCACTCAAAGTTGCTCTGTACTTTTCCTGTGCTGCATCACAGCTCCTCAGCCTTGTGCTGGGCACTGCCAGTCCTGCTTGCTTGACTGTCTTTCTCCATGTCTTAGTCTTTTTTTAGAAGTCCTGAGCCACAGCTGCATGAAGAAAGAATGCACAAACACTAAGACTTTGTATGAAATACAAGGTTGGGTTTGAACCTCGGTTAGGCTGGAGGAATCACACTGAGAGGTTAAAACCTCCAGGTTTTGCTGGATTTACCTTAAAGTGCCATTTTTATAATCCTGATATTTTTACCATTTTTAATTTGTGGTTTGTCAGTGATTTCAGGAAAAAAGGCAAGCATGAAATTATTGAGAAACTTCAGTTCCTGACACAGGTGGTGTGACTGGAGGGGTAATTCAGCAACTAGTATGAAAATGTTAGGAATGTTCAGGCTGGGTTTACATTGCCCTGTATGTTTTTCAGCTCCATTGATGTGGAAATACAGTAAAGATCTAACTGCAAGAAGAATTTGGATGAGTGTTAATTGAAATAAGTAAAGCCTCAACAAAGATTTCTTCATTCTGGTCAGACCAAGCATGTCAGAAAGTCATTGATTATACAGATTACATCATCTGGTAGCATCTGTAGATCATGTGGATTGAAAACAAGCAAATCCTTTGCAAAGAATTAGAATAACAGTAGGTGTAGAAAGTCCTAAGCAAGTCTTAAGTCTCCAGAAAAGGTATTTTCTGGCCTGCAGCATTCTGAACAATAACCAACTAATAACACAACTGATCACTCTCTCAGTAAGATCTGCATAAGAGAAAAGTAACAGAAGGGACCTCTCATCTCCTTCAAGAGCCATAGATTTTGGGAAAGAACATGCATAAGGAAACATCCACAGATGTGCACCAACAGCCAGAAACTCGGAAATTGAGGAAGATGTTGCCTCAAAGTATAAAAGTCAAACTGAAGCTCAGCAAGAAAGATGTTGAAAGTGAAAACCAGCCCCCAGCTACCACATGGCTGACACGGAACTGGAGTGGAAGCTTTTGAAGTGTTGGCTGGATCTCTGGTGGGAAGGCTGTGTTCTCTCCACCCATTCCCTGGAAAAGCCTCTGGTGTTGGGCTGTTGGCTTTACTTATTTCTGGAATGTCCTTTGTGCTAATAGAATTGTCTCTGGGCCAATACAGTAAGAAGTTTCTTCCTAAAAAGAAAAAAGGCAAAACCAGAAACAACAAAACCAACAATTAAAACCACAATAATAGGATTTAGAAACAAAACTAAATAAGTTTATAGTAGCAGACTGGCTGTTAACCTTTTCTGTACAGGCTGTTGTGATTTATTTTTGGAACGTGGTACTAAGCTCTAGGTTTATTCATGAATACTCTGAGAAATTTACTTTCCTTTTATTATAGGACAGAAGATCCCACAACTCTCTGATCTTCTTTTCTTTCACTTTCTGCCTTATAGTTTGAAGGACTCTTTTTTTTTTTTTTTTTTTTTCTCCTGGCTCCCCTGAGTTATTTCTTGGCTTTTTACAGAAGTACAATTTCTGTGCACCAAACTCTTCTCACATAATATAACTAAATCCATATGTCCAATTCATACAACTGAACACAAAACTCTGGCAGATGCCCTCTCAGAATCTGGCTACCACTTTGTCATTTTTCAGCCCATACAGTTTTTTCAGAGATTTTTGCACATGCAGCTCTAACATTTGGCAATTGGACGTCAAAGCACCTTCTTTCCTACTGTAGATCTTAAATAATATTTTAAAGACTTGGTTCCTATTTTTTGCGTTCAAAGCACAGTGACTTAAAAATTAGCTGTCCTGTTTTCCTGCTCCTTCCTGTTTTTCAAAGACATGCTAGAAATTTGGAGACATTTGTTTAAAAAGGTGTGGAAACTTCAGCATTTTGCCTGATGTTCCTCCGTCTGCTTTGAAACACAAGTTGGATCAGCAGCTTGTACTTGGTTGCAGATGTTGTTCTGATTCTTGCTGAGCTACATGAGAGCTGAGGAAATGGAAGCAGTGGGTTGTGGGTTGTGTTTGTCCATTGCATTTCACAGCAGCATCTTCTCCATCAAAATTGGCTCTGCCAGTTCTCTGCTTTTGATTCAGACAGAAAAAGGCACAACAGTATTCAAGCTCTTGCAACAGTCAAAGTCAGCTCAGTTTCCTCATCTGAAAAGTGCCATTTTGGTTCATGATGCCTGTGAAATGAAGCTCTGTTTTCCTGTGTCCTTGTTCTGTGACCAAACTCTGTAAATGAAAAAGATTAAACGCTGAAAGACGTGCTCACAATGTACTTCTCCTGCACTGAGCCTGAAAAAAAAGTCAAGCTGTAAAAACTGTCTGAGCTACCAGAAGGAGCTGTGAGGAAGTATGAGTGTTTCAAAAAATATTTGGAGAGAATATGTGTTTATATAGTAAATTAATTTCAAACAAAAGCAATTTATCTTGTCTGAAGATTTGCATGGGTTTGAATGCAATTGAATTAGAAAAACAAGAGCAGGATGCTTGAAAATTCTTAACCTATTTAAAAACAGCACTAGGCACTTTCTATTTTAGAACAGGATTTAATTGCTTTTTGTAAAATGCATTGGCAGGACAGTCATTTTCTCACCAGCAGGTAACAGCAGTTCCAAAAAATGTGCTTTCTCCAATGTAGCTGTAGGAACTGTTGCTACCTAAAACTAACATGGTCATTAATCAAAACAAAAAGAACAAACTGTTATGTAAAGCAATAATTTTGCCAGGCAAGTACTTTGAGTTTACCTAAAACAGATGATCAGAACATACTATTCAGTTCTTGGTTTATTGTCTCCATAAAAACTTGGAAGAATACATGTCTGGTCCAGTAAATGTTTTTTTCCAGGCACAAATATAATGGACTTCTGTAAGTGGTTTGGGGGATTTTTTTGGTGGACTTCTTTCATTTCTTGATTGCTAGTTTTGGTGGGGTTTTTTTGTTTGGTTGGTTTTTTGTTTGTTTGTTTGTTTGGGGTTTTTTTGTTGTTGTTTTTTTTGGTTGGCTGGTTTTTTAATCTTTCTAGTTCTTCAAACATTTTTACCTTATTGTGCCTGGCTTCTTGCTGTGGTGGTTCAAGCACATGCATTGCCCACCTTGATTGCGTTGGGAGTGCTGGAAAGGAGTGAACACCAGTGGGAAGTTTCCCTGGGGTGTTATTGTCAATAGGTGTGTTGCTGGTGATAACATGGACGTGTTTAGGAGGATCTGAAGTAGTCTAAGGATAACTAAAAGGATGAAAACAAGCGGAAGGAAGTTTATGCTGACTCTCAGGGAAAAATACTCTTTGTATTGCATCCTGTTAAATTCCCTAAAAAGTCACCAGGGAACCAGTGCTTGGAGTCATTTTAGACTGAAATTTGAGGTTCATTTGCAGGAAACTGTTTTGGCAGGATAAGGGACCCTTCTGATCCAAGATTAATCTTAACATTTATAGCAAATGTTATGACTCCACAGGCCTTGCTGAGCACTGGTCCCTTCCTCAGTTTGAGTGTCCAAGAGCCTGGCATTTACCTTTCCACATCAGCACTGGGGATCCCTACTCACTGGTGATAATACCATTCATCTGCAAAATATTCATTGACCCAAGAGACATTTCAGAAACTCAGCCACTATTGTGTTGTCTTAGCAAGGATATAAATTATACAGATCTTTCTTAAGCAGACACCTGTAATTGTAGCTCAAGCAGCCAATTTTCTCATAACTTATAGTAAATGGGAGAGAGGAAATAAATTAGTTAGAAACCTGAGCTTGAATAAGAAGTTATTTGGTTAGAAATAATTCAGTAGTCACTCAACTATTTATTTTGTGTTTGTATTCCATTTCAGAGAGGCTGTGCAAAAAAGGAGTACAGGAATTGAATTAATGGAAAAATAAAGTGAAATTCAGATATGGCATTGTAAAGTGTTTAATAGTAATATACTACATTTATCCTACATGGGCTACTTATTGCCTCCAGTAAGCTGCTTCTTTCATCCCTGTTATGCTCGATTTGATTTTGCTGTCCCTTTTTTATAGGGATACATTTTTAAATTAAGTGCTGGTTTACTTGTGACTCCTGCTCTCCTAAATAGTTGAGGATTTAGAAAACCATGTCTTACTTTTTCTACTCCTTCGTATTGTTGTAGAGGCTGAAGAAGTATTTTCTAATTTCAATTTCAATTATTTTTAGGCTAAAGGAGTGACTGAACACAGATTACCTCCTCCTGGTCCTCCCACAGGCAATTTACCCCTGGCAAAAAGAGAATACTCTAAATTCCTCTGCTGTACAGTGATCTTTGTGTTTGTTATAACAAAGGCACTATAAGAAGTTTTTAAATATTAAAGAATGCAAGATTTTTCTTGTATATAATCTGCACAGTTAGAGCATTATAAAAAAGGATTTATAAGGCTTTTTCCTCATTTGCTTGATAAAACGAACAGAAACACTCAATAAAAAAGAGCTTGCTTGGTTTGCTTTGCATACCAGAATGCTTGGTAAGCTGCCCTGGTTGTAAAAGAGTGTGATCCTTTCTATGGCATTCTCATGAGTGATACCTTGCATTACATCCTGGTTAGAGAGACATTTTTTTGGCTATTGTTTTGGTAGACATTTTTGACAGTTCCTTGTTTTTATTATTGTAGAGCCTTTTTCTGATGAACCAATGCAAGTCACTTGCACAGAAGTTCCATTCTATGAGTCTTTGAGGTTAGTTTATTTACTTTTATATTAATAAAAAACAGCAGAGAGAAATCATGAACGTTTACTTTCCAATTCATGTTTTCTTAGGTCATAAATAATGCTATATCAAGTTGTTACTTAAAGCAGATATACTTTTATATAATAAGATTAGACTTTGTTAAAACTGATGGGTAGAAAATCTGCCTTCACCTCTCCCTCTTTGCTGTCATCTTTGTTCTGTGCTTGGAGACCAATGACCTGTAAGAGTCTCTTAGAAATCCCAACAGGATATGTAGGAAGCAGTCAAGTGTCACTACTGGTCTCTGGCTTCTACAGCTTCCCAAATCCCACAGATGTGATTTAAACAGCTCTAAACCTGCTTTCACACAACACTTGTTGTAAGGAAGCCAAATTGCGCTTTTCTAAAGCCTTGAATTCATAAAAGACACAACTGGTAGAAAGCCACCTTGAATCTTCTTAATACTTGTTCAGCCTTAGGCTAAATACAACTCACAGCTCTCTGACTGTATCTAAAAATGCTTCAATGAATAATTTCAAGTCTCTTCTGAATACTTCTAGGTATTATTCTCTGGTGTCTTGAGAAACTTTTTTTTATTTATTGTGATCAGTATAATCCAAAAGTGACTGCTTTCTTTAGGTTTACACTTACATACTTTTAGCTTCAAATCTGCACAAAAATAACATACTGTAGGATAACATGGTGCATAAAAATCATTCTGCCTTTGAACTGTATTTGACCTATCAAGAACTCAGTGAAAAATCACGAGTAGACTGAGCTTACAAAGATAACAGACTGAGGTTTTCAGTCAACTTGTACAGCAAGCTCTGTGACATTGACTTGAAACACTCTGTGACCATTTATTCGTTACCAAGAAATCAAAATAGTTTGTTATTCAAATGAACAAATGTAACAATATGCTATTACTGTCAATTCTGTAGCTTCCCAGCCCAATTCTAAATTAACTGGTTTAACAAAGCTAATTTTCTTCCTGGAGAGGGAGGCCAGGGGGAAAAAAGGTAAAACAAAACCAGACTAAAATCAAACAAACAAATAAACCCCACAAAAATCCCCCAGTGGTATTTAGAGTTATGAGGCCAATTTACAGAAGTGTTGCATGCATTTATACACTCAGAGAGATGGAAGATAAAAGCACAGACTGTGGGACCAGAAGTTATTGACTCAAATCAGAAATCTAAATGAAAATGAATAGCTAGGTGTTTGATAATTGTAAACTAGTAGGTAATTACCTGCACCAGACAACATAATTTGATATTAAACCCTTTGAAGAGCTTTCCTTTTTTTTATGGATATAATCTGAAAGGATTACATCTCTTATCCTCACCTTTATGCTAATTGGAGCTCTATGGAGTTGTATTTAGTATCTTTTGCTCAGAAGAATATTGTGAAGAATATTTTACCTTCTCTGGTTGCTTCATGCAAACAGGCCATTACTGAGGTGGGTCAGAAGGAAGGGGTGGAAAGCAAATATCAGTAATTGCCATTTCCACTCTCCCATGGGCTCAGGGGCAGTACTGAGGCACTGCTCAGCCTGGATGTGTCCTTGGCAGGGGTTGTGAAGTGCTCATTGCCAGTGGGGTTCCCATTCTAAGAATTTCTGCAAGTCTAGGGAATAAGCTGTATTTCATTGCAGTTTATAACTAGATTTTTTTCATTGTAAAGTTCTGGAGATGAAGTATTTCTGCAGTAAAATTAATCTTTGTTTATACATTCTATTGCATGTGCTAGTTTTTCTTATCTCAGGAATTAACCTCCAGTACTAAAACCCACCATAAACTGTAAAAAATAAGTGGACACTAAAAACAAAGTATTAAAAAAGACATAAATCAAATTAAAATTAACATTAAGTTTTCTAGTTGAGCTGTTTATTGCCATTCATATTAAATTTTATGGGAGAATAAAAATGTCTCTTATTTCTGTGCATCTGACCATAAAATTGCGAACTTACCCATTAGTTAGAATAATGATGTTCAAATCAAACATCCATTCTGAATGACCAAACCATCTGAAATTTAAAAATATTTGAAATTAATGACATGGAAAACAATATATTTAAAACAAGTCTATACAAAGTTAATATATCTCAGTGTAAGTAGGTTTGGCATTATCAGCTTTAGATTACAAATTGTTATCTGCAATAAGAAATCTCCATTAGCATCATTTACAAGAATCCTTTCACAGAAATACACTTGATTCAGAGTAATTAAATCTCTTGAGTCACCAGTATAGCAAGTGTCTGAAAAGTGATATAAAATCACTGCAAGAAAATTTGACAATGACAAAAAAACCCCAATAAAGTAGCAATAAATAATGGTGCTAGGTAAGTCCTACAGCTCAGCTTCAGTGAGCAAACATGTTTACTGTAACAGTGCAGATTATGATTTCTATGGAAGAAGAACCCTTTATGACTAAATACTCAGTAGAAGTTTGCTAAGTTCAGCCACAGTTTCCTATAAAATTTCTTTTTGGTCTTAGGTGTTGCTGTTTTAGCTGTCCTGAGTTTTTATTTGAGTCTGGGAATTTAAAAGCCTCAACAAATTTGAAATAAGTGAGGCTGGTTTTCACATCAAAGTGTGAAAAGGGCGAGTTTCACAAGGTTGCAACAGGAAGCCAAAATCAGAACTTTTATTTCTAAGCCTGATACCAAGGCAGCTGCAAGGATCTGAAACCTGTGATGTGATTTGTACCATATCCACTTCTTTTTGAAACTGGATAAGTTTTCAGTAATCTTCTATTTATTATGTGCTTTCTCTAACTCTAATATTTAGCCTCTAATCTTGTTCTTTTTATAACATCCTGTTGTTGCAGAACTTCACTTTGTGATGATTCACCCTGCCAAGATGTATTTCTGTTGAATTATGACAGTGTTGCTGAGTCTTTATTCTTTTTTTTCCATGACATATTTAAAGATAAACAGTTCATACCTGAGATGCAAATTCTTTTATGTGACTAAAATAAGTGATAACCAGCTCAGAGTAATTCATTGCTCTTAGGCAGGACAGTTCAGTTCTCTGAACTAACTAACATCCTTATCTATAAAATGGGAATGGCATCACTTCATTTATTACCTAAAAAGAAAGCAACTACAGGGCTTTTTGCCTCTAGCACTGTGATAATGCACATCTGAGAGTGTTTTACACCCAGACACAAGCATGTCAACCTTTGGGTACTTATGTAGGGATTTGGGAGTCTAAGACAACCAAACAGAAGTTTTTCTGTTCCTTACTGAACCTGCCATGTAAAGAGTTCAGTTTGTGAGTGCATTCATTTGATTTGCTTGGTGAGGGGAACAAAGATCTCAGTCAACAGGGTCTCTGGAGAGGTGCCTGGGAAGTCTAACAAGCCCTTAGGAAACCTGCAAAGTCTCCAACCTGTCCATTTCTACCCCACTGAGAAATTCCACACCAACAGCACCATGGCTGTGCTGTTGACTGATCTGTATGGAGAGTTTATTTTCTGAGTTGTGAGCCTGATGAATATTCTTCATTTAACAGGGGGTTTTTTTATGATTTAACATTGTGGTTTTCGTTATCAATATTTACACCTTTCAGAAAACTGGGTGTTGGTAAATGTAAAATAGGCACAAATATCTTCCGTGACTCGAAGTGGGGAGAATGCTAAAGGCCATAGTTTGGTTTTAGTTTTTATTTTCATTGTCAGTTGTGTGTATTAAAACTATAAACCATTTCTAACTGCCTTGCTCTAAGGGGTTGGATTAATTTTTTTTTCTCTTCTAAACTGCTCAGAAATGCAGTTCATTCTTTTTTTCATGCTTTATGACTTTAAAAATTATTTATTTTTATTATATCACTTACAGTGGTATTAGACTTCTCTAACCCACAGTTTATCTCCATCTTATCTTGCAGACTCAGAGGAAAGTTCCTCCTCTCCCAGGCACACTCCATCTCCCATACAGGTAACTCCTTCCTGCTAAGCTGTTATTAAACAAAGTGTAGTTGTGCTTCTACCCACTTGAAAATCACAAAGCACCAAATACACTTAGAACATATCAATTAATTTATCTCACAGTTTCTTCTGTAAAGGATTGTAATTGCTTAGGACAGAACACACGGTCTACATGGCACTCCTGAACCTCATCATACCTTCATGTTGTGCTTTCCATGTAGTACAGACACATCTAAGGGAGGCTTCTGCAGATTAGTTACAAAATAAGCATGGCTCAGTTCTTACAGCTTTGTTTAAGGAAAATCTACAGAGGTATATTTATAGACAGATAATATTTTTGTAATTTTTTATTCTGGCTACTTCCAAAATTTAAACACATCTTCAGAACACTGTGCTGTACAGGATCTTTGCACTGTTAGCTGGAAGGAGAAGTGTCTGCCCATGAGAAGTACTGTTTTGTAAAGCCTCATGTGCACAGCTGAGACCCCGGTGCAAACTATTAAAATCTTTCCTTCTGGTCCCTTTCCTTCTGGTTTCCAGGGGAAAGGAAGCCAAGCCCATGCAAACCTCACCACTACTGCTCTGGTCTGACTCCTGATCTGGACAAGCAGGAACCTGAGACTCACCAAAGCAAACAGAGCTCCCTGAGAAGAGTAAGTGCTTATCTGAACTTGGATTTTGAACTTGCATGTGCTTTCAGATAAAAAGGAGCACCTTGCAGGACTCTTATCTGGCACACTTAAATAATAGGAGCATTTAAAGCTCAGCCCATTTTGTTTTTCTTTATAAATTGGGCTTCATTTGGGGGATTTGATTTACATGAAACCCAGGAAGAAGACAAGGTTGCCATTGTACTGCTCTGTTATTGCCATATAATGCCACCCATCACAGATTAAAAGGGTGATGGTATGATGTTTCTCAGTTTGGGTGCAGTGATATTCAATATGCTTTTTGGAGAGCAGTATGGTCAAAGTCAGGGAAACCAGAGCTTTTCTTCTGACCTTTCTCATGTCCTTTGTAGAATTTTGATAGAGTGGGAAAAAGACTCCTAGGTCTGTAAGGTCTTCTTAAAACAAATAAAGGGATGTGGATCTGGTATCAGGTAGCCAGTATCTTGCAGAACAAGAAATCATTTAAAAGTTGACACAGATGGAGCCTTTTATTTAAATTCTGATGTGCTGTAAATAAATTTTGAGCGCCCTAAAATCAGTGAAGTAGAACACTTCAGAAAAGTTTTAGGGATGACATTACTGTTCTCTAAAGAGGTGACTTCATCACCCCCAGTGTGGAGGTGCTCTTGTCCAAAAACAGTGCACCTGAGAGAGGGCTGGCAGCTTACAGGGCTTTTTTGCATCCTGCTCTGGACTGCCTTTTTTTATCTTGGTACTTTATAAATGGATTGCTGCTTGCAGACAGAAAATGGCCTGCAGGTTGTAAGATGGTACAAGCATGAGATTTAGCCTGCTTTGTATAAATGTAAGTATAATGCAGGGTTCAGTGAAAAGACAGGCAAATGGCTTTGCTTCTTGTGCTTTCCTTTTTAAAACTCAGGGAGTGACGATGCCCTGAGTGTACTGAAGAGTTTGGGACATAGACTGGAAGATTTATTTGAGGCTTTTATGGTTGGGCTTGTTCTGTGCCTGTCTGATCCATCTGCCTCGGTCTGACCATGTCTGATCTGGATCACAGAACCAGACAAATGTCTCTGCCCTTAGCCTGAGTTGGGAGATTCTTTACTGTGTAGCAGACTTTCCTTCCCTCCCCTATTCCCTCGGTATCTGAGCCAACGGTTTGAGAAGAAAAAATACCAGTAAGTCTGCTATTTTATAGCTGGTTTGTGTATTGGAATCTCACCTTTCAGCATGGTCTTTATATGTGTTAAATGATTGAAAACTGTAACAGAATAAACTGTGGTATGTATATCTTGGGGCATCACATATAGACCAATCACATTTTTTTTCCATTAGCTTGTGGATTTGCAAGGGTGGGAGACAATAAACCCTGCAATTTTTTAAATACATTGCTCCCTTTTTGTTTTGCAGGATATACAGGGAGAAAGCCCATAGTGAATAAAATTTAGTAGCTATTGACGTGCTACTAAATAAAAATAACTCAATATCTATACAGCAAGTCTGGTTATCATAAGCAGACATAAAAAGCAGTAAAAATTTAATTAAACAATTTGTATTATTGTTATCCTTCAACCTCAAATAGAGCAGGAAAGAGTAATATTAAAACTGCTGAACCACATACTAGGAGATTTGCAGACATTTATAATTCAATTCAAGAAAATAAATAAGATTCAAAATTAGTTTTAAGTTAAACTAAGTCAATGGTTAGTAACATGAAGTTGTCTGAATTAGGTTCTCCCTGAATAAAGGTATGTCTTACTAGGGAAGAAAAATGAAAAAGAAGTTACTTTACACCATAGATAGGCTGTGCCATTTACATATGGGAGGCATCTGTAGCTGTTCTAGGAATGCTCTGTCTAGAAATACATGCAAGATGATTCAGCTGGGTTTTTGCTTCCACAGTCTATTCCTCTGCTGGGCTTTGTTTGAGCACAGTAGAATTGTAAGCCCAGAGCATATCACAGAGTGATATTTCTGATCATTTAGAACACAGAGTCTATAAAATATTCATAAAACCTCTGCAATTTGAATTAGCCTTTCAAGTAATAAAAAAAAAATACATCAAAGGAACACAATAAATGAGGGTGTCCCTCTACTACATGTGATATGAAGCATGAGGATTTCTTTTCAGTGTTTGATTCATGAAAAGTAAATGAGGCATTTTCTGATGCAACAATTATGGGATTTCATAGAGTATGAAAGAGTAACAAGAAGGATACTGTGTTATTGTTAACGGCTCCACTTCTTACCATCTAAACTAATGAGCACCTTTGATCTCCTCTGATTTCTTCATGCTTCGTTGTTTCCATCATTGTCAAAAGCCCACTTCTTCACTTTCCTTGGGAAATAATCTGCATAATGCAAAGTGACTGCTTGTGGAGTGCAGTGAGTGTTCCACCAGCTAGGAAGAAAGGGCACCATCTGATGAAAGGAGACACATCCTTGAGACAGCTACAAAACTTGGATA